GGCTCATACCTGTAATCTCAGCATTTTGAGAGGCCAAGGCAAGAGGATCACTTGAGCCCAGGAGGCCACAACCAGCCTAGGCAACATAGTGAGACCCCCATCTCTATTTAGAAAAAAACTATATATTAAAAAAAAGTTTTTCCTCTGTTCTTCAGAATATATTATTTTTAATGGTCTATCTTCAAGTTCTCTGATTCTTTCTTTTATCATATCCATTCTGTATCTAAGCCATCCAGTGAATTTTTTATTTTACATATTTTATTTTTCTGTTTTAGAATTTCTATTATTTCCTTTTTATAGTTTATATCTCCCAACTAAGGTTTTCTATCTTTTCATTATTATAATATATTTTCATTTCAGTCCTGAAGCATAATTATTTTTTAAATTCTTATCTTTTGATTTCAACTTTGGTGTCATCTCAGAATTAGTCTCTATTGATTTTCTTTTTCCTTAAAGCTGCTTCATGTTTTTTTTATCTTTATATGACAAGTAATTCTGAACTTTATGCTAGAAATTGTGATGGATATGTTGTAGAAACTCTGGATTTTATTATGCTTCTTCAAATGAATATACATTATATATAAATAAATATATAATGTATATAAAAATGTTTATATATATATATATTTTTTTTTTTTTTAAGCAGACACCTAACTAGGTTAAGCCCAAACTGTAAGCTCTGTCTCCCTGGCAATAGGTGGCAGTTCAAAGCTAAGCTCAGTTATTTTAGCCTTAGCTGGGCTCCTTAAAGTCTGCCCCTCACTTGCATAATTCAACGGTCATCCAAAGATTAGTACATAGCTTATATGTAGAAATTAGGCTCACCCTTTCTGCCTCGCTTCTTTTCAAGATTCCAGTTCAGTTTCTAGCAGCTGTTATTGACCCAAACTCTTTCCCCAAGTAAGATTTCTATTCAGTTTCTAGCCTTCCTACCCAGCTTTGGCTATGACCTGGTCTCAGGATAAAAGCTTGAAAAAAAAAAAAAAAGGTAAACTAATCCCTTGCCTTCCACTTCTTCTGAGTATCTAACCTCTCCAGTGTTTGCCTGCTTTTGTTTCTTCTCCAGTGCCTTAGAACAGTTATTTTGCTTCTTTCTAAAGACTACAGTTATTATGTATGGAAAGGTTGGTTGGTAACACAGAAGCTTATTTGGGAAGTGTGTTTGTAATTCAAACAGTTACATACCTCCTTAAACATCCCTTGTGTTTTTCATGGAGTCTTTTCGTCATCATTGTTGTTGTTGTTGTTAGAGTTTATTCATTTTAGTTTATATTATTTAAGATCAAGGACTGTTACATTTTATGTTCAGTACCGCTTTGACAACTGTATTATCTATAGTGGTAGATGCTGGGAACTTGGTAAATATTTAAATGATGAATAACGAGTAAACTTGGCATACATTTTTCTTAGCTATACAGAATATATCCTTGTTGAGAAAATTTATTCTATGTAAGAAGACCTAATTAATAATTGCTGTTTTTCATTAAAAATTGCCATTAGAACAGAAAAAACACACTTAGATTTCTTTAAAAACAGAACCTCACTTCTCCTCTAAAATAAAATTTTGATTCCGTGTATTTAATATTGACTTAAAATCTATTGATGTCAAAGTACTTTAGAGAACACTATTTTTGTGTGAAAGAGGAGGATAATTAAATATGACAGATAATTCTAAGAACCCTTATCTGAAAACAAAATTTTTTTAAAAAGACAGAAAAGACATGCTCCCTGCCATCCAAGAATCTAAAATCTAGTTGGGGATACAGACAGAAGTAAATAACTTTAATATAAAGCAAAAAACTGTTAAGTGCTATATTGAGATTAGAACAAACTATTATGTGAGAAGACATGGACACATAGAGGGGAACAACACACACTGGGGCCTATCGAAGGGTGGAGGGTGGGAGGAGGGAGAGGTTCAGGAAAAATAACTAATGAGTACTAGGCTCAATGCCTGGGTGAGGAAATAATGTGTACAACAAACCACCATGGCACAAGTTTATCTGTGTGACAAACCTGCACATGTACCCCTGAACTTAAAATAAATGTTAAAATAAAACTATCAAGATCACAGTAAATAGAAAACAATGTAATCAGTTCAGGATTCCAAAGAGTTTTTTGGTAAAGGTAGGATATATACCAGCCTTAGGAGGAAGTAAAGAGCTTAATAGGTATATATGATAGGAAAATTTATCTTAGAAAAATTTGGAAAATGTTCGGCCATGTTTAGGAAAGAGTAGCATGGTTTAATGATAAGACCTAGGACTTTGAAATCACAAAGATATGTATGACTGTGTTCAACAATCTAAACTTCTCCAAACCTCAGTTTCATCATCAGAAAAATGGGAAAGGTGAGTGGAGTTCAAATTGTGGAGACTCTCTCTGAAAAGGTAGGTTAATAGAGGCCTGTAGACTGTAGTTAGGGAAGCCTGCTAGTTGGCTGTAGCAATAATAAAGTAAAAAGTATTGGCAATAGGACTGAATCCAAAAACAAAAGATCGTATTTTCTGTTCCAAGCATAGACTGGAAAAAAATGAGAAAGAGGGAACAAATATAAAGGATTTGGCCATTGATTCTATGGAGAAAGGAAAGAAGGAAACTCAGGAAGTTTAATGGAAACAGCTAGAACCAATTTAATGAAACAGCTCTGAAACTATTGTAAAGTAGATTATATATTATTATTTTATATGGTATACACATAGGATTCTTTTTCTGATATAAAGAGAATTATTTAAAATATATTTTGAAATAATCATAAACTATTTTAAGTGGTAATAAGACTTGAAAGATGCTGCAAAAAAATTATCAATGTTTACTAATTTTTTAAATTAAAACTTAAAGATCTTTCTCCATAATTTTGCTTGACAGAATTTTTAGATTTTATTTTTGTTTACTATTTTGTTCATTGAGGTCTTATTAACATATACTTCATGTTTTGCCATATATTACATCTCTTTTATAGCCACGATCCACTCATTAACACCTCCTTAGTACTTCATTAAAATGTTTTATCCATATATACTATTGGATTTTTAAATTTTTTTTTTGAATAGTGGGGAAATATTCACAGAAAGGAAATGATACCTATGGTTCATAAGCCTAGAAACTCTTACTAAATGCAAACAAGCTGACATTCATAGTTAAGTGACTACAAGAGGCAATAGCTTAAAAATCGTGCTGTTGAATTTCAATATATTTATGTCTTTTGTGTTTATTAGCATGAATAATAATTCACTAATGTGTGTCTGCTAGGTACAAAACGCCATGCTAAGCATAACATACACATTATCTCACTTAATTTTCATGACAGCGATACATGATACTCTGATTATCCCTAAATTAAACTAAGGGAAATTAAAGTTCAGAAAAGGTTATGTGCTCGTGATCGTATAGCTAGCAAATGGCAGAGTTTAGATCTGAGCCTAGGATCACCTAACTCCCAAGCCCATATGCTTTCTCCTATACTACATTGCCTCCCCCAGGAAAGAAGAGAAGGGCGAGGATGGAAGAATCTCTAAAAACGAACTGAGTCTTTCCTAACTGCCAAACGATTCCAAGTGCTTTTACATACACTGACTAATTGAATTCTCACAACAGTCATAGCGGGGAGGTTTCTTGTTATCTCCATCTAGTATATGAGTAAACCAAAAAAGGTACCCAGATCTTCCACATGGCATTCAACAATTCTACAACCAAGATGTGCATAACAATTGAGAACTTGGAGCCAAACAACATCATTTGATAGCCCCCGGGAACGTCTTCCTGGTCCCTAAATCTCTTCTCCACAGTTTTCCCCTATCGAAACAAAAATAATCCTGGGGGCGAGAACACAGTAAACTTCATTATCCAACTGCACTGCAGTGAAACTGAATGACCATCTGGGTTCGGGGAGGTCGTTTTAATGAGAGGAGAGCTAGCAGGCCAAAGGCACCCAAGAAGAAGGGGCCGGGGCACACTGGGAGGAGGAAGAAAGGAGTTAATGAGGATGGTTGAGAAGCAGAAAGCCACGCTCACCTACTTCATGTTTTTCTGGGCTTGGTCTTGCTGCAACCAAACTCACATTTGCAATTCAGAAATGGAGATAAGACAATTAGGCGAACACACTGTGTTCCAGAGAAGATGCTGAATTCAAGTATATTCGTTTTTATTATTCTTTATTTATGAAGAACATAAAGCAGTCTGCGTGAGATTAGATGTTAAGAGCTATCCATCTGGCTCTGCCAAATATTAACTCAGGTTAATTGTAGGCTGCTCAATCTATCATCCATGTGACGGCTTCACATTTTCAAACAATGTACTAAATGTTCCTCTAAGTTGATGTTATTCCCATACTATATATCACATGGGATTTGCCATCTTAACTGCATGAGTGTGTAATGCTATAAGTGACCCTGTGGCAAAAAGAGAAGCAAAGAGTGGGAAGGACTCAAGTTGGGCCCTGATCATACTCCATCCAGGTGTGATAATGAATTAAGTTAATCTGTGAGTATTTTCTTAACCATAGACTGGAAAACTCTCATTCCCAAGAAGTTGTTTTGACTTTTAAGCAGGGAATCCTATAAAAGGTAGACTATTATAAACTCTCCTAAAGCAAAATATTTGCTTTATGTAAATAGCCTTCTCAAGGTAATAAATAATTAAGGAACCTCAAAATAAAATGATGTATGAAGCTCTGAATCCCTAACCAAAAAGATTTCCAAAGATTTACCTTCGGAAAGAATCCATCTTTAAGAAGAAATACTGAAAACATACCAACTGCCCTAAGTTCCAAAATCATAAGCAACAATTAAGAGCAATAATTAAAATGGAGAGTCCCATGTTCAGGAGTTGCAAAGACCTAGATACCAATTCTTTTCTCCCAGGCAAGTTACTTAACCTCCAAGACTTTAGATGTTCATCTGCAAAACAGGAATAACAGCACCTGCTCTGCCAGCTTGCACAGCAGTTGTGAGGATCAAATGCAGAGGCAGCAATAAGAGCGCAGCACCACCTGTACCACTGAGACAATCCAGGTATACAAGGTACAGCGAGGTCTGGCCCAGGGGCTGACCTCAGACTGTGCTTTACACTCTGTGTCTTACTGCATCATTTCTGGAAGATTATTTCAGAAGGTGGTAATTATAGAGAGAAAATCAGGGCTAAAGCAGGATGAGAACTTGCTTGGATATTCTGTTGAGGAAAGAGAGGTGGAAGGAGCAAAGGGCTCAGCACCCAAAACTCTGGGAATCACTCAACTTTAGGGAAAGAAAGCAAACAGCACTCTTAAAATGAGTTAAGTGGAAGACATAGGGGCAAAGGAGGTAGGCATCTTGTCCTGGAACCTCTGGTTGGAGTGGGTTGAAGAGGGACCTGATAAGACTAGTGATTTTGTTGTCATCTTAAGATGGTATCTAAGTAGAAAACTAGTCTGTAAAAATAGATACCAGAAACCACTTGTGCCTGTCACGGGGTGGTGGGACCATTGGTGGGAATGTATGATTTTTATTCTTTTTGTTTATCTGTATTTTCTACTATGAGAATTCCACAATGAGAATGTATTATTTCCATAATGAAAATGCTATTTCTGCAAAAAGTAAAAATGTATAGATTTTAAATTATATATTATATGTTTAAAAAAACTGGATTTTTTTTTTTTTTTTTTTTTTTTTTTTTAGTTACTGGGCACTTTATTTTATAGGTAACTTCTATAAAGATGGAAGCTGCTTCTGGCTCATCAGCCATCGTTGATGATAACCAGTCCTACAATTCTCATTAGGTGGTTCTGTTACCCCACTATTTCCTTGGGGTCTGTTGTGCTAAGGAAAGGATTGGTTGGGTAAAGAGGTGTGGCACAAATAACCCTCAGGAGTACAGGCCACAGAGCTAATGAAGGGCCCCAAGGAAAGAAAGACCTGCCCATCAGCGATGAATTCTCTCCCCTCATGCCACAGACCTGAGGGCACGTGACCCAGGAATGTGCATCCAAAGATAATACTACCTTCAGAGAACTCTACTTATAGGTAAGTAACTCTCCTTTATAGGAGGTATCTTTGTGTGGCAGACTGTTTATGCGAGCAATTTGAATTGAACTTTAAATGAAAAAGGCATATCTCTGTAAGTGGTAATAATTTTAGTCATCTCACTGTGGCTAGGGGTTGTGGAATTCATTAGCACAGATTAACATATAAAGTGGGTGAGATATCTAATAGCAAACGGAGAGGTTTAGGGGCCTTAATTCATCACTGAATGAACAGCGTGTACAGTATTAGGGACTATGAAATTTTTAATTTACACAAAGTGTCCAAGAATATAGGGAATAAATTTAAACCCAAAACAGATAATGGAGCTATGCCCTACCTGGCTGGCAAGTTGAATTGTTTTTACACTGAGTGAAGAAAGCTAATTATCCCAAGCACAAGGAGACTGCTAAAAATAATAAGATTATAAGGAATAATTTGCTGATATAATTACAACAAAATTGGGTACACACAATCGTCAGATACATGTATTGCTTGACCTGGGTGAGAAAGTGAAATAAATCCTTCTTCTATAGCCTTCGTAAATTTGTTTTTATCATCTCCAAGTGGTGTTTGCACAGGCAGCACAATTTGCATGTGTAATGTGGCTGTACAAATTGACAACAAGTAAATTATTCAAGGAAATAGGCTGGTCGCGGGTCTGAACTATCTCGCAAAGCCTATTCATTTTGAAGAATCACTGAGACGTGAAGCTCATACATCAACCGTTTTCTGACAATCCTCAGACTTATTGTCTCCTAAAATGTCATTATGGCTATTATTTATGAAGCTAATTCATTTATTAATATATATTTAACTCTGACTTGTCATGCACCTTAGCAGACATTCTGTGCACTGCATATTTTTGAATAGATGAAAGGCTTTTGCATGCTTTAATGATTACTGTAAGCTGCTATAGATTTATAGAATGCAGCTTTATTATCTACTTGCATTAATACCTTTTTATAAGTTTTTTTCTTAAGGCCATCAAATATAAATGGCAAATGACATATTCAAAAGATTGTGTGGAATAAGATTTTCGAAGAGTTTGTTGAATTTTAGAACAAAGTGGGTTATCTGTCAGTTAAGGCCTAATTCACCTAAAAAGATGGGTATATACCAATTATGTTGAATTTTCCTGCGAAATATAGGCTTTGGTTTTTCAAGAAAAAGTAAAAGATTCATGATTCACTGAGCTCTTTCCTTGTGAGAAGAAAGACCACTCTTATGTGCTGAAGTTGGACAGCAGTTCCCGAGGAAGCTGAATTCTAGCTGTTTATTGTTATTGGGTCTTGTACTATGCCCTTTATGTTGTCATTAATCAATAAATACGTGTGGAACAAATGATTAGCTAGATGGATGATCTCTAGGTTTTCTGATAATGCCATGAGTAAAATCAGTAGAATCAAACATCTACCTAGAATACTATTTTATATAGTTTTGCTTTCTGCTTTAGCACTTCTAACCTCTCGAGAACATTCCGTAACTCCCACTATGATTTAAAAATAAGCCATATGTGTATGTAATCAAAATACACAGCACATGTTATTTTTACAGTCTGCATAATAATATATCAATACTAGATATGTATTGCTACTTCTTGTTGTCACTGGATATATTCTGCTCACTAAATGTGACCTTGACTACTGTGTGTGTGTGAGTGTGTGTGTGAATGTGAGTGTGTGAGTGTGTATGTGTCTGTGTGTGTGTTTATGTGTTGGGAGGCAGTGAGAAGAAACTGAAGAATAAAAAGGAAGGACGATACAGTTGCCTCAGCTGTTCTGCTGTGAGTATGTTTCGTGCTAACCATTCAAATATTCACCATATTTCTAACTTAACATTTCTGCATTTTTGTAGATGCAAATGTAAAGCTCTTAAAGTACCAACCAAGCAGAAGGACAGCACAGGCAAACCTAACACTCCTGCCATTAAACTATGGATCTGAAATTGTGATAAACCAGATGCTCCATTTTAAAGATAAAAATTTTACAAAGATAAAAAATGTCATATACCCGAATATTATGTTGAATACATTAGTTTTAATAAGGTCATGAAATCACCAAAACTTTGAGATAATTAAGATGTGTTGCTAAAATGTTGCTTAATCTATGAAGATAGAAAGTAGAATTAGCTGTGTGTGGTGGTGTGCACCTGTAGTCCCAGCTACTAGTGAGGCTGAGGCAGGAGGATACCTTGAACCCAGGAGGCAGAGGTTGCAGTGAACTGAGATCACGTCACTGCACTTCAGCCTGGGCAACAACGCGAGACCCTGTCTCAAAAAAAAATATGTAGGTTAGTCGTTGCTTAGGGCTGGTGGGAAGTAACTGCTAATGGGTGTGGGAGTTCTCTTGGGGGTGACAAAAATGTTTTAAAATTAGACGGTTGTGATGATTACACAACCCTGTGAATAGACTAAAAACCACTGAATTGTGCTGAATTATGCTTGTTAAATGTGTGAACTATAATGGTATGCCAATTATATCTCAATATGGCTGTTTAAAAAGTACTGCTTGATCTATGCCAAAATTAGTTTGCTATATATAACCAATGCCATATACTATGAATAGTAGCATAAGAAATAATTTAAGAAACTAGCTTATGAATGAAACCAAATTTAAGTATAAGATAAATGATCTATCCACAAAAGCATAGGAAGGAGGCCTGCTTTCCAGAAACTCAAACTTCAACAAGAATGGTATTCATGTTACATGATCTGATAAGAGAGACAAAATTCTTATGTCTCAAACACTGATATAAGCTACCAAATGTAGTCAGGCAAAATCTTAAGTAAATGTACAGGAAGATACAATTTTCCTTTAGCATTATTGAATAAGAACAACAAAGCGTCAAGAATCTATTTTTAAAAGTAATTTTCTTACATTAAGTTGTCTCTCAAAATGTCATATTAGATATGGAAAGCAAACCACACACGTACATACGAAATGTCTTTCTAACTGCATCACCCTGGCAGGGAAGGCTGATGACATTTTTATTAGTAATATTAATCACATGCTTAAAGGGGAAAATGTCTCGCTTTTTCAAGGACCATAATATTTACCTATTTACACCTTTTAAAATTTCAATAAGTCCATCTTAGAACCCTTAACCCCCTTCAAAAAAAACAAGTAACCTTCAAAAAAACAAGTAAAATAAAAATTAATAAATGTTCCTTAGTGTGCTATGAACCATTAATTGTACAGACTGAACAGCTTTAGCCTAATAAGAAACATGCCTTCAGCAGAAATGTGAAAGTCACCTGATGCTTATGCTTTAACGATAAAAATGTGTAGTCAATCTGCAACGAGGTTAAGACCTACAACCCTGGAATATTTTAACTACAAATTCTTGCAGATACCTGAGGAACTTTGAAAGGTGAACAACCTGAAGTAATGAAATGTTCTCAGCATGAATTAAGTAATTCATCTCTAAAGTGGTCTGAAGATAGAGGCAATAGAATTTCCAGTAATAACAAATGATCAGAGATGGATTTGGCCTGACACTCCAAGAAAGTACAGACGTTGCATTAATCTGGCAACAAAATAATTGTATCAGTAATTTTTTAGAGAAAAGGTATTATAATATTAGAAGTAAAGACATGTTAATAGCATCATTAATCATAAACCTCATATAAATTTTTAAAATCAGCTCTAGGTTTAGCAATAAAAGTCCTAAGTATAATTCGTTCATTCAAATAAATAAATACTTATGTAATTCTTACTGTGAATGAAGGCTGGAGTAGACAATCTGGTGCTAAAGTGGGCAGATTCCAGGGGATATAAAGATGAATTAAATGCAGTCTTGTCTTTGAGGAACTTAAAATGAGAGGAGTGTGATGTTTTTGCCAAAATTTCACCATTCTTGTTTGAGTCATTTCCATTGAGCAGCGTTTTACTTTTATAATCAGAACGAAGAGTGTTGATTTTATTTTTTAAGAGATTTAAGTGCCATTGAGTGAGATACAAAGTTTTACAGGTGTTCGGAAGAGAGATCCCTGTCAAGGAAAATTTTCGAGGAAGAGTGAGTGTGTGAGCTGGGCATGGAAAGAAGACCATCTTAATGACAGACTGAATCAGGGAAGGCAATCCAGGTGGAAGGTATCGTATCAGCTAAAGCTGGAATGTGAAATTAATGGAGAGCAATGCAGTATGGCTGCAGGGTAGGGTACCTACAGAGCAGAAAAAGCTAGCATGTAGTATTGGGGCTCGATCATAGGAGGCCTACACTATCACACTCAAGAATGCAGATTTGGTTTGCCAGGCCATGTATGTAAGGTACTTAGCAAACAGTGCCATGTGCATCAAGATATACGAGCCATTATCATTAGTGTTCAATGTCTCCTAAGAAGATGGAGCAGAGGAAAGGCTATAGATCTCCTGGGCAGCCAGTTCAGTGTCCTCTGTCTATCCCATAGGTAGGCTCCAGATGAGTGTGCCCCAGCAGGTAGGTCTGTACTGGGGTGTGACTCACTTTCAGATTGTCCCTGACTCACCATATCCCCCAGCACTCATATCCCTCAGCGTCATGCAGTGACACTCTGAAAGTTCTTTCAGTGCAAAGACTATGTCCTCTTCTATATCTTTGTTCCCATGGCCTTAGCACATACGAGGTGTTCAAGAAATTTTCATTGAACCAACTGCACATTAGGTATGAATACTTCCAGACAAATAAATACATTGATACTCTGGCCAATGTGTCAGAACAGATGGCCTATTCATTTAGTAATTGAATTTGTCATCACTGGACATACTAATGATAGCTAGTTTCTGGATCTGCCAGGTTCCCAAATGAGGCATTGTCCAGAGAGGCCCTTGCTTGCAGTCCTCTGGATATAGACATCGTCTCAGTTCTCCTCCTTTACCCCTAAACTACCATACCTACCTCTATAGGGATATTGTGGGTGAAATAAGGGTTTTCACATGCCTTGCATTGTGCCTGATGGCCTGATGCATACTAAAATTCAGTAAGCATGCTTGTTCCCCTAAACAGAATATCTGACTTGTCCACCCATTGGCTACAGCATGGTAGACCACTTAGTGTACTGCTTTGGAGACAAAAGAAGAGAAGGCTCTTTTACAATTTTCATCTGAATGTCTCCTTTAGACAGATGGAGCCACCTTATGGACGTTGACATACTCTATCCTTTTCTATGATGGTACACAACTCCTTGTGGCTGAGCTCAGTTCTTGAAAACCCAGAATTATAAAGTTCAGAGCTACAGCATAGGTCAAGTTCCTCTTCCCACCAAGATCTAAGGGATTGAAGTTCACAGTGAAGAATTAAAGGAGGGATCGAGGCCCAGAGTGGTCCAGTGACTTGCCTCTGATGAGCACCGTTATGAAGTGGGAGAGGAAAAGAATGTTCAGTTTTAATCAGAGTCTTTGCCATCACGGAGACAGTGAAGCCGAGTGGTTAAGAGCAGGGGCAGCCAAACTGACACACGTGCAAAATCCCAGCCCCCCACCTATTTTTACAAATAAAGTTTTATCAGAAAAGGGTCATGCCCGTTAATTTATGCATCATATTTGGCTGTGTTTGCACTACAGCAGCAGCAGCAGAGATGAGTGGGTGCAACAGAGATCATAAGTCCAACAAGGCCTGAAATATTTGCTATCTGGCCTTTTGCAAAAAATGTGCGCTGACCTTCTGTTAAGAATAATGGCTTTGTTAAGCAGAATTGAGTTTAAATCCTACTTCCAACTTGGGTGAGTTAACCTCTTCACACCTCAGTTTCTTCATCTGTAAAGTGGGAGTAATAAAAGCATCTACTTTGAGGGATTATCATGAGGATTAAATACCCCAAAGTACCTAGCACAATGCTTGGACCATAGTAAACTTATTGAATGTGAGCAATGACAATGATGATGGTGTACATATTTGTAGAATCATCATACTGAGGACACTATATCTCGAAAAGGCTTTAACACTGTGTTTTAAATGTACCTGGGATTTGTTTTAATCAAGGATGCTGAGGTATGCAGACACAGAATAACTGTCATGAAGGAGGAAGTTATATTCACGGGTCCCTAGAAACAGGAGGCAGGGTACACCACACAGGCCGTGTGGAAGAAGCACCAAATCGGGCAGAGGGCAGAGGGAGTGAGAGGGAAATGTGGGCAGGAACCTTTATTGAAGTTTCTGCGAGAAAGACAAGCAGGGTAGGCAGTTAGGATGGGCTAGTTTGGACAATTTCCACAGGTTCTGAGGAACAGGAACCACCCCAAGTCTCCTGATACCTGGCCCTAGGGTAAGTGGGGCAGGGGGATAGTGTCCCTGAGAGGGGGAGCTTGATAAAGGAGGTGGTTGAGGGTAGGGGCTCTGGATTGGTTGGTTTGTATATGAAAGGTTCACTCCTGGGA